ATAAATCTGAATTGGTTAACCCAAAATATGATTTACCAAATCCTTCCACAGATCAAAAAAATTTGCAAGATATTAGAATCAATCAAATGATTACGAAAGAAAAAAAATCTACTTATGTTTCTAAAAAATCTTATAAAAGAACTGCAAAAAGTAATAAAGGAAGAGGTATTAAGAAAAGAAAGATTGATTCAGAAATCTATGATAAAACAAAGTCTGAATATTCAAAAAAGTATTTTTGTGAAGAAATACACGAATCAATATTTTTTAAAAGTGGTGAGAGAGTTTCTAAATATAAATCAAAAAAGTTTGAAAATTTTATTGTAGGACATTTTTTTCGATTTGAAGAATTTGATCTTTTAAATTTATTAGAAAGGACAAACTTAATGATTTGTGTTTTTAACGAATTTAACTTTCGTGATAAAAAAGATGTTAAAACCGTTGAATTGAATGATCGTTATCAAAAAGTTAAAAAATTTGATCCTAGTTTTATAAATATTTCTAGAAAATTTTTAGAAAGGATAGCTTTTTTTATTGAAGTTTATTATAGATATAAAAATGCAATATGGTTATTTCGGAACAATGAAGATTATAAACAAAGTTTAAATTATATATTAGACAAAGCAGATTTAATAGACATTAAATTACCTGTAATAGAATTTAAAAATGGTAGGAATTACAATAATATTTTATTAAAAGGATTAAAAACAATTATTATTGAAGCACAAAAAATTGTTTTAGAAGATTTTTTAGAAACTCCTTCTGATGAAATCCTTTCTTATAAAACATTTTCTGATATACAATTTAACGAATTAATTTATAAACTAGATAAAATGATTAAACCAAAATTAAAAGAAAAAAATTCAAAAGAAAAAAAATTTTTTTATAAGCTTTATAAAGAATTTTTAAATCCTATTCTTAAATTAAATAAAATACAAGAATTATATTTAATTAAAGGTCGACTAAGAGTCAAAAAAAAATGTTGTGATAATTAATTTATTAATAAAATTTTTTAATTTAAATGATTGTAAAAATTATTTAAAATTATCTAAAAATTGTTTTGAAGTTATTTTTCAAACGTTTCAACTGTTTATACTAATTGATTGTTTTTCTAAATTAATGAAGTAATTTTTACAAAATTGGTTATTACGTATAAATCAGGATGTGTGATACCTGAATGAATGAGGTACACAAACAATAAGCTACTTAATTCTTTATTACATGTTATTAAATGTAAAATTAAAGGTTAAATAAATAGAACATTTTAAACTTAAAATTTTTTAAGAATAAAATTTGTTTTAAAAACATTCTTTAGAAAATAAATTGTTTAGTGGTATACAATGGATAACACAGTTATGTTTATAATATAAAAATTATTCTTTTTTAATTATAAATATTTTAATTAAATAATGTTAATAATAGTTTAAT